AGTTTGCATTATCTGCATATCCCATGAGTCTTCCTTCAATCCTAATCCTATGATATTCAATTATATAATCCAGTTTCTCAGATTATTTGCTCAGCATACACTTTGAATAGTGTGTGGTCTAAAATACAGTCTGGAGAAACATCTTTCCTAATTTTAAACCATGCAGTGTCCTTTGTCCAAACAGAACATGTACATACCCTACATGAGTACAATTAATTAATTGTTCTGGAATTCCCATTCTTTGAAATGCTATTCATATTTTTCACAATTGACACAGTCAAATGCCTTTGTGCTAAATGTCTTTCTGGGGTATGCTCTACTTTCAGCCAACATACACCTGACATCAATAATTGGTCTATATAAGCTTTAAACAGAGAACTACCAGAAATATAGGCTGGGTTTATAAGAGGTTATGGCACTAGGGACATTATTGTCTGTGTCAGATGGATCTTAGCAGAAAGCAGAGAGTACCAGAATAATTTCTGTGTTTCATTGACTATGCAAAAGCATTTTACTGTATGTATCACAATAAATTGTGACTACCCTTGAGGAAAATGAGAATTTCAGAGCACTTGATCATGCTTATATGAAACCTATACTTGGACCAAGCAGCAGTCCTCAGTACAGAGCAAGGAAACACTGCATGGTTCAAAATCAGGAAAGGAATGTGTCAGGAATGCATCCTGTCCCTGCACTTTTTCAGTCTGTATGCAGAACAGATCATTCGGGAAGCAGGGCTTTATGAGAAGGAGTGTGGCGTCAGGACTGGAGGAAGACTCATTAACAACCTGTGATATACAGATGACACAACCTCGCTTGCTGAAACTGAGGAGGACCTGAAGCACTTGCTGCAAAAGATCAAGAACTGTAGTCTTCAATATGGATTGAAGCTCAACATCAAGAAGACAAATATTCTCAGCACTGGGCCAATTGGCAGCACGATAATAGATGGAGAACAGATTGAGGTTGTTAGCATTTACAGCTTGCTTGGATCCACAATTAACACTTTTAACACCAGGAGTCAGGAAATAAAAAGATGCATTTCATTGGGAAAAGCTGCTGTCAAGGACCTCTCCAGAGTGCTGAAGAGCAACGATGTCACTCTAGATACAAAGGTGTGCCTAACCCAGACCATGGTCTTCTCTATTAATTGTTATGCTTCAGAGAGTTGGATGATGACTAAGGATGACAAAAGAAGAAGAGATGTCTTTGAGTTGTGGTGCTGGAGAAAAGTCTTGAACATACCACGGACTGCCAAGAAAACCAATAGGTCTGTCTTGAAGAGGGTAAAGCTAACCAAGTCTTTCCTTGAAGGCTAGGATTTGAAGCTCTGCCTCACTTACTTTTGGCATGTGGCCAGGAGGAAATGGTCCTTGGAGAAGGACATCATGCTTGGAAGGGTGAACGGACCGCACAGGAGAGGGAGATCCTGGATGAGATGTATTGATACAGTGACTGGGGCGATGAGGGTTGGTGTATCAGAATTAGTGAGACTGGCTTAGAACAGGACAGGAAGGGTTCAGAGCTGCTGCACATAGGGTCGCTATACATCTCAGGTGACCAAATGGCACATAAAAAAAAAATAACATACTATGATAGATTTGGAAGCAGGTATGACATCCACTTCCTAAATAACATGCCTCCGGAAATTCTGTGAACTTTGATAAATGTCGATAGTTGTAGAGGGGATTCAGGCCTTTTGTTCACAGGGTCATTATGAATCGTGATCCACTCGAAAGCAATCAACAACAACAAGCTTTAGAACTAGGTTTGAATTTTTTAAAATACTCTGCGACTGTATTGCTTAAATATTTTTTTAATAATCTTCAGCAAAACTTACTTGTGTGTGACATTAATGACACTTTTTGATAATCTCCACCTTCTGTCAAATTACCTTTCTGATATGGGCATGTAAATGAAGCTTTTCCAGTTGGCCAGGTCTTCCAAATTTCTGGTCAGAGATTAGTAAGTGCTTCCAGCTTGCATATATTTGCTGAAACATCTCCAATGGTGTTCCATCAATCCCTGAACCCTTGTTTATCAGCAATGCCTTCAGAGCAGTTCGGACTTCCTTCTTCAATAACATCAGTTCTTGATCTTATGCTACCTCCCAAAGTGATTGAACGTTGGCCAACTCTATTTGGTATAGTGACTCTCTATTTTCCCCATCTTCTTTTGATACTTCTTGTGCCATTTATTATTTTCCCCCAAGGAAACCATTAAATATTGCAACTTGAATCTTTAATGGTTCCTCTGTTTTCTTTCTGCTTAAGAAATACCAACTTTATTCTTCCCCTTTGGTTTTCTAGCCTGAGGTCTTTGCATATTTCATTGTAATGCTTTATTTTCTCAAGCTGTTTTTGAAATCTCTCAGGTCTTTCTTTGGCACCACCATTTCTTCCATGAGCTTAATATTTTTCCTTCAAGAGTAAATCTCTTCTGATCTACTAGTCACTTTTTAGTCTGACATTCATTTTGGGGTGGGTTTTTCTCCCCCTTTCCTGTCTTTTTAATGATGTTTTGGTTTCTTCATGCATGATCTCCTCCACAGCTTGGCTAGTCTTTGGTCATTAGTGTGCAATTTGTCTAATTTATTCTTGAGATGGTTTCTAAACTTTAATGAGATACGCGTGGGGTCATACTTTGTCTTCCCTGGACTTGTTTCTTCTTTTAGTTTCCACTTAATCTTACATATGAGCACTTAGTGATTTGTTCCACTATTGGTCACTGGCCTTGTCATAATGACATTGAGCATCTCTACTGCCTTTTTCCATAGACATAGTCAATTTGATTCCTGCATATTCCATCTGGCAAAACCCACTATTATAACCACCATTTATGAGGTTGATAAAAAGCTATTCCCAATCTTGAAAATCCTATTTGGTGTCATTTCAAACCTCCTATTTTCCAACTGCTGGTCCTATTCCCCAATTTTCATATTCCAATCACTAGGAATTATCAGTGCATCATGATTATATATTTGATTAATTTCAGGATGCATACGTTGGTCAAAATCTTCAACTTCTTCATCTCTCCTATTGGAGGTTGGTACGTATATTTGAATAATTGTACTAACGGGTCTTCCTTGTAGGTACATGGATATTCTTCTATCACTGACAGCATACTACTTCTCGAAATATTCTTTCTGGCAATGAGCGTGACACGGTTCCTCTTCAACTTGCCATTCTTGGCATACTAGATCATATGCTGTCTGATTCAAAATAGCCAATGCCAGACTATTTTGGATTATTAATGCCTCTCTTTAAGTATTTCGTTTTCAAGAACTTAGAATTTTCCTGGATTCATGCTTCATACATTCCGTGTTCTCATTATTAAGATGTTTGCTGCTACTTCTCATCTTGAGTTGTGACACAATAACAAATGAAAACTCCCCACAATTTTACTCTATCCGCATGGTGCAGCTGGGCTCCACCCTCCCGTCCCTACCCTTGGTAGACTGTCGTCCTGTGATGGCTTGTGCGTCGCTGTGAGGTGAGAAGCTAAGGCACATACATACCAGCAAGGTTACCATGAGCTTTCAGACTGAGAAAGACTAGGAAGAAGAGCATGACGGTGAGCCATTGTTTTTAAAATGGCAATGAAAATCTTATGAATAACAGCAGGACATTATGTGACATAACACCCCACGAGCTGGAGGGTGCCCAATACACCCCTAGGAAAGAAATGCCTCCTCCGAGTAGAGTAGACCCTAATGATGTGGATGGAGTCGAGCTTTCTGAGGGTGTTTGTTACGTGCCAACGAGTCAGAAGTGACTCACAGCTGACCCTCATCGGGTTTTGAGAGGCATAAATGACACAGGGCAGGAAGCTTTGGTGGCCTAGTGGTATGAAGCTGCACTGCAATCTCAAAGGCGCATGGTTCAAATCCAGCTGCTCTGCAGGAGTGGGATGGACAATGTCTTCCTGTATATTTACTGCTTCTGCAAACCTGCTGGAGGGTCAATTGGTTGGTCCTGACTCAAAGGCACACAACAACAAAACACACCAGAGAGGATTGCCTGCCTTTCTCACAGAGCTGCTGGTGGATTTGAATGCCTGGCAGTGCAACTGGAAAGCCTCACTCTTGTTCAGTTCTGAGGCTGGTGTTCAGCATAGTACCTGGGGAATGATCACCTTCACAAGACAAATATATCTATTTAAATACTATCATTATCATGTAAATGATAATGTGGCTCTGAGCACTTTGCCTCTTGGGTCAGCTTCCTCACCTTTAAGATTTATACATTCTCCCACCTTATCAGATTGCGTTAAAGAGGAGATAACAGCTGTAAAACTCTACAGTGTAAGAACCCTGGGCCTTGTGAAGACCCCAGTGTTTCCAGGGATTGTTAAGGTTTCCTCAGAGCGCCCCTGGACTGGGAATGGCTCTTGCCTGCTTAGCTAGGGGCACCCACTGGCTTCCCTTCTGCCACCTTGTGTTTCAGTTTCCTCCTCACATTTCCCAGATTCCCAGTGGGCTGGAGCCCAGACGCACAGGCGGCCACAACCGCCCTCCTGGCTGCACTTGTGTCTTCCCCTCAAACCCTCGCTGTGGTGACTTATTAAGTCATTTTTAGTCTATACTGTGTTTTTTCTCCTGGTTCACCTGCTCAGGCCTCAGAATCCAGCCAGTTGAGTTCCATTCCAGGGTCGGTGTCCCAACAAAAGCTGGCCCTAGGGGACCAGCAGCCGCCAAATCTAAGATCAGGTTTTTAATGAATGAATTTATTTATTTTACGGGGCGTGGCTGGCAGAGCCCCTGCCAAGTGCAGATCAGCCAGAAATCTGGAGACCCTCGCTGGCAGAGGATTCCTCCGAGAGAGGGCTGGTCTGTCTTGCCTGTCTCCCCTTGAAGTACACAGAGGACGTTGTGTCCGCCACCTCGATACTCCTCCACCTCCCCTTTTTCCTCCCCCCAGGCTGCGGGAGCCAAAGGGTTAAATCCCATAGAGCTGAATCTCTGACTCCAGGCTAGAGGGGCCCGGGAAGCTGGGGTCACTTCCGGCTCCGTCCCAGTCACCCTGAACTGGTCCCCGGGTTCTCAGCCTGGGATCACCCCTAGAGAAAGACCCCAGAGTCCTCAGCAGCTAGCCCGCCCCCCAGGCAGGGTACTGAAGGGGTTAAGTCCCCTGGGGCTGGATTCTGCCTTCCGGCTTTTCCCAGACCCCAGAGCCGTGAGTTGGGGGACGCCGGGGTGCCCGGGGGGTTGGCCCGGAGGGCCCGGGACGGCCGCCAGGGAACAATGGGGCCCGGGGGACGGGCGCCGGGCGCCAGACCCCGAGCCGCCACCGCCCGGCCCGCGTCCGCGGGGTCGGGGTGGGGG